GTTTAGTTTGTTATCCAGACTTTTTGCAATTGCAGTATTCGCATACGTCTTTAAGGGACATGTGATCACAGCACTGGCGGTTCATTGGCTAATAGTGTATGTTGTCTCACGGTCAGGGCCTTTTTTAAGGATTTTCCCGTGGGGGGGCATTTTTTGAAAAGGGACCTTTCTGTGAGATAATATATTAGAGGGGGATAGCAATGGCTGAAAGCCACGTGTGTGGAAAATATACCACTCCCGGAAATGTCATTTCATGCATTCTGAGCATCCAAATTTGCTCCAAAATTTATCCTACTATACTTGTATTTGAAATAAATAAAGGAAGAAACGCACAAAAAGTTTAAAAAAATTAACCATCATTTATCATTACTTATTAGAGGAGGATAGCAATGGTCAGGTGTGTGGGGGTGTACTCCCCCAGAAAATTTTTGAAATTTGAACCACGGAAATGCCATTCCCTGCATTCTGAGCATCCAAATTTGCTCTAAAATTTATGCTAACTATAGTTGTATTTGAAATAAAAGATGGAAAAATGCACAAAAAATAAAAAAGAATATTAACTGTAATTTATCATTACTTATTAGAGGGATAATCCCAAGAAAATTTTTGAAATTTGAAACCGTGAAATGCTATTTCCTGCATTCTGAGCATCCAAAAAATGAAAAAAAATATTAACAATAATTTATCATGGCTTAGTGGTAAAAAAGTAACAATTTAAATCGATTTTGTTAAACAAGAACAAAGGATAAAGCCTAAAACTTACTTTCCGTTTATCTATTTGTTAATCTTCGCGGGATTGTTTGTATAATTTTAGGAAAAAGGGACTTTTCCTGGGGGGGCAAAATGTGATTTCGTGGGGGGGGGGCACAAGTGGGGACTGGGGGGGCAAATGCCCCCCCAGCTAGTATGTTAAAAAAGGCCCTGCTCACGGTTGACAGAGGATGAATGCAAGCTAGTACGACGCATTATGATGAGCTTTCTGTTGATGTTACAAGTGCCAGATTGGTCAACCGAATCCAATTTCAATGTACGCAATTTCCATTTTGTGATGTACAGTTTAATATCCACGGAGAACGTTTTGTTTGCAATCTTGGCGGTGACAATACCAACATCTGATGTGAAACATATGAGTGTACTGAAACCAGTTATACTGTGGTTGGTTGTAATAGGCGTGGTCCTAGGTACCATTTTTCACATAGGATATAACAAGTTCCTCAAACAGACAAAAGAACCACACGAATCAAACGAAGAAGAAAACATGTGATACAATTATCATACTACCAAGTGAATAATATCTGGAAAAAACACTTTTGAACACCTCTGCATGCAGAAACATGAGTCATGAGAATTAACAATGCAGTATTACAACTAATATTACTATACTGATAGTAACACTATACATGAAAAAATGACTTAATTCTGATTGATTAAGAGTCCTGCAATGTTACTCAGAAACAGTGTCACGAGGGAATTGGTTTAAATTTGACAGTGAAAATGAAATTGTTGTGCCATTCCAATAAATGAGTAAATCATTTATATCTCACATGGCTCATGAATGCGCATGACCAGTGTTACGTTTGAGGGCGAGAACGAACAAAAATGTAGGGTTTGCATCTTTATCTTCTTTACGTTTGTTGCTCTCCTTGACCAGACACAGCGACACGCGCTGGCCAAAGAGGCTTTCTCGTATTTGTAATATCCTTCTTTCGAGTCTTATACGAATTTTGCGACGACAATAAATCCGACAATATCAAATTCTTCTTTTTGAGCAAGAACAACTGTCACTAAACTTTTCAATTCTTTAATTCTTCTACTTCTACTTCTTTTTTCAATTCTTTCTAACTTAAGCTTTCGCTGCTTATATACTGTCCGCAAGATAGAAGTAGAACATTACATAAATACTATTTTTGGATCTTACATAGGCGATAAATATAGCAAAAACATGAGTCAGCATAATGACGCAATGTCTTAATTAAATTAAGAATGTTCGTGACTGACTTCACGTCACACCAGCGCAATTTGTGTCTGAATAATTTATTCATGAATAATAAGATGCCTGCGCAGAGGCACTCTAGCTACGCGCCATGCGGCATAATAGGAACAAGCAGGGGCGTAGGAAGCATCAAAAGATTGGGGGGGCACCGACTTCTAGGGGCACTTTAGTATTGAAAAGAGCACCTAAAAAATTTTTCCCAGGAACTCTTTAAGCCCTCAGGATAAACTTTTGCACTAGTTTTAGTACAAAATATTTATGATTTGCCCCACGTAAGTTGTGCTCGTCCACTGAAAACGCCGGTAATGGTTTGTCATTAGTTAATCTATTAAATCACTGATTACTTTCATATTTTATCTATAGTATATTGAAATGTATTTTCTATTGTATTTTTAATACTTTTTTAAAAACACTCAGTGATTATATATTCATTAGTTAAATTAAAACTAAGACATAAACTTCTCCAGCAATTCCTGGATAGTTATTAAGCATACTTGTTTTTCAGTTAATCAGTATAAGCGTTGCCGACGTTACTGTTGTATCACAATAGTTCAAATGTCACGTATTAGTATACTTCCTGCATTTAATTAATGCGTTTTTCTCAGAAAAAACTGCGATATTTCTAAGTATTAAAACGGAAACTGCGTCATATTTTGCTGTATGTGTTCAGACCTGCAGCTTGTAAACTTGTGGCTAAACCATTAGAGTGTTTTGCTTCGCTGCAACTATATTGGTGGTGTGGCTTTTGTATAAAAGTTGTGAGTATATTATCTACCTATATTTGTGTTTTTACTTTTGCATAAATTGCGCAGAGTAGTATATGTCTATATGGGGTGAGTGCACGTTCCAAGATCAGTAAAGTCCCTCGACATTGTTAATTCAACACCATCTGACAATTTTCAAATAGTGTTTTATACTGTTTCTTTCACGAATGTCTTAAAGGGGATATATGCTCTGTTTCAGGGAAACCTTATATGATTTGATTCAAACATGATTTGGAAAATAAGCATTTAAACCAAATATTTTCATATTTTGGAGATGTCCGACCGACAATGTTGTGTTCGTTTGACTGGTCTTTACTCGCAACTTAAAATGGTCAAGTTTTGCGATCGGTTTTCTGTTAAGCAAAAACGGTTATTTCGTAGAATTTCTCGACAGTCTTTTAATCTGTAAACTTTAAGCAAAGTC